GCGATTCCTCTCCAAGACACAGGCCTGTGCATAACGTTCTCCCACGCGTCTATAGGCACGTTGACGTCAATCACTATGGGACATGTTAAACCTGGACTCATCTGTAAAAACAACATTTCTCCTCCCAAACAAGGGTCTGCGGACATGATTTCGGCACCACATTCGGCGAGCTTGTCAATGACGTTGTGTCAGGACAGGCCGTATGGCGGGACGTCGTGGTCTGATCCCGTGATGACGTAAACGTTGTCGAACTGTGTTGGGGTGGATACGGCGAAGTCCTGGGATGATTTGGGCAGTCATCACTGCAGTCTGAAACCTGTGGCGAAGATGGGTCACCCTTATCCATCTGTTTTGTCTTGGCGTTGTTACACGTGGACGTCCAGAACGTGGCCGATCGATGACGTCATTTGTGTTCTGGTAGCGTCTCACCAGTGCAGAAATGGTGTTCCGGTGGCAGTGGAAATGTGCAGCCACTTGTCGTTGAGACATTCCCCAACGGACCATCCCAATGGCCTCATGACGTTGTGCAGACGTGAGCCTTGGCATGCTATGCGTTTCAATAGCCGTTTAAGTTTTTGAACGATCGCAAGGACAGGGGTTGAGCTTTCCAAAGTGACAGTATTGTGTGGCATTCATTTGCTCTGTTTCTCTTTCCCGGAATGCACGTGCAACAACGTATTGCACGTCTCAAGGACGAACCCACTGACGTCACGGAACGTGACACGTGCATGCATGTTGGATACATGTTACTAATCTCTGCGTTTAAATCCTTATGTGTCTACACAGGTTCGATAAAATTTAGATTTTAAATTTTTGTATGCAAAGTTTCTTTATGTGCCTAGTATATATTTGGATTTTACGGGAATTTGAATCAACTTAGAAAATGTATCAATGGTCATTTTCCAACTCGTGCCTATTTTACCTCCATGAGTGCCATGCCCTACGTGCTTTCCTGCGAGTTTGGACACGCCCTTACGCGTCACCCACGGCTGTCAACAATGTCAGTGTGGGAAGGTTTATCCAACAAAATCATTATAAACTCGATAAATATGATAATTTTGTTACAAAGACAATACCATTTACCTAATCAGACCATGTAATTAATTCCAACGAAAACAGTTGGATCTATCAAAAGGATGGCACATTTTTTTCGGTATCACGATGCATGTGGAGTTGTTTGTTTACCACCGTTGCCATGATCGTTCCTATTCGTCCAATCGGTGATGTAACATTGAGATTGTTTTTGTTCATAAATAATTAAACCGAAAGTTACTAATTTTTAGGAAATGGGAAACTTCAGTGTTTTCTCTTGACCAAAGAACAAAAATATTGATCAAATTATTTTTAAAAATATTTTATTATGAAGAAAATATTAGACAGGGTACCACTCGACGTGATGTGCCTGAAGTAAAAAATGGCCGTTATTTGCGGATGTATACCGAGAATTTTGGCGAACAAATCTTTAGTTCGCGGACGTTTCGTTTTAAGGTACATAAACTAATTGAAGATTATATATTTAGAAACCTGAGAATTAATTCATTCCATACATAATTCAAATGACATGTAAATCCGACTTGTTGAATAATTATTGCAAGTTTTATTTGGGGATGTCATTATGCTGCTCTCCTGTCGAATGGGTTCGACAGTAGCATTGAGAGGATTAAGTACATAATCCGATCATTGTTTGCTTTTTACGCTACACCGGTTCTCATTGTTATCGTCAGCCATTGTTGCTTTCTGCCCACCGGAACACGAGTGAGCGTAGTTCACGAGGTCACTCCCGTAAACATATGGTCTTTCTGCTGACGGATGTGTCGAACACTCGTACAATTCGAACTGTTCCCTTGGTCCTGACACAACAGGGTTTGACTGTGTGTATGCATATATATATATATATGTGTGTGTGTGTGTGTATATATATATATATATATATATATATATATATATATATATATATATATGTGTATATATATATATATATGTATGTATGTATGTATGTATGTATGTATGTATGTATGTATGTATGTATGTATATATATATATATATATAAGAAAGTGATGACAATACCGAGCGTACAGTAGTACATATATAAGAAGTTTCTGAAATAATGACACACACGGATCTTCTCCAACATGTTTCACTTTTATCTTCAGGGAGAAGTGATTACAGTTAAACGGATTATACACACACACATACACCCGAGTCATATAAAGAGAAGCATTCCCTATAACTTAGCAAGACGTATCTGCATGATTGTGTCACAAATACCGACAAGGAACATACGACTTGCAGAACTAAAATCATATCTACAGTCCCGTGGATACCCAGTTCTTCTTGTGGAAGATGGAATAAAGAAAGCAATAAACATAGACAGAAGGACACTGTTGAAAGTTCGTGATAAACAAATAAATAACACTGTCAATCTGGCCTATGTTTCAACGCACAACCTCAAGAATCCGGAACTTTTTCATATCATAAGACAAAATGTTCCAATTTTAAATGCTGATATGAAAATGAATCGAATTATGGCTCATGTAACAATGATAAAGAGTAAACGCCAAAGCCGTAACTTAAAACACATATTGACACGTGCCACATTCGACTCATGGGAGAAGATCCGTGTTGTGCAATTATTTCAGAAACTTCTTCTTATATATGTACTACTGTACGCTCGGTATTCTCATCACTTTCTTTATATATATATATATATATATACGCACAAAATGTCCAAAGTAGTACAGGTGTTCAGTCATAAATATTGCATAGATAAATAAAAACAGAATGCCTTTTTCTGCAACATGTTTCGTTCTTTACTCCTCAGGGAGATTGTGGCTCATTATGGCTCATGGCTCATAATGGCTCATGCTCATTCATGGCTCATAATTTTACTCTTCAGGGATAATTTCCCTGAAGAGTAAAGAACGAAACATGTTGGAGAAAAAGGCATTCTGTTTTTATTTATCTATGCAATATATATATATATATATATATATATATTACAGAGCAACATATTGTTGAAAAATCGTGACATTGTGCCTTTAAGGTAAACACATGCCTTGCCATTGCATGTGTTTTTGTTGGCAACACCGATGGAACAGGACAAACTCACCTTTCAGCAAACTCCTGGGATCATGTCTGATCGGGACTCACATGCTTCTGTTGATATTTCGCTTCGAGAACAGGACCTAGATTTTCGAAGCTCACTTAGTGCTAAGATAGTCGTAACTTAATGTTAATGTATGGTACTTATGACTACCTTAGCGCTCAGAGAGCTTCGAAAATCTAGGCCCTGATTTCTAAGGATTTGGGAAACATTTTTATTTTCACATTAGCATCCTTATGGTTAATGATGTAGTGTAATGTCATCCGTAAGGACATTTTGTACTTTTAATTTTAACATAAAATTCCCTTAATATATATATTTATATACATGACATTTATATAGCGCACATATCCAGGCAACTAGTGTTTGCTCAAGGCCCTGGTATATTTTTCCCCTCGATCACTGGATGTCAATCTCAACGGCACATCGTATTATCAATCTCAACTCCCTGGGGAGTATAACACTCTTGCAGCCACTAGGCGCACCGAGTTATTGTGGTGTTCTCATCCCAATGAGGTACCCATTGACAGCAGTATTTTAAAGTAATAATTGTCCTCTGGTACAAATGTGTGTATATATCTTAATGGTGTGGTGATATATCTGGTAACGTGTACAATGTGTATTTTACCAATCTTATATATGTGTTGCATGGCATGTGATACAAAAACAAATTTCTTTTTAAGCTAATCAAGTATTATTCGATTCTATTCTATTTATCAAAGTCTACGTTTGAACACTATGACTGTATTATTAACCAAGGAGAACATCCACACACCTCATGAGTTCTCTGAATCAACATCTATGATATTGGTTTTGAAACCCAGTTTAACTCCAGCTCAAGGGTGTCATCAAAGTAACCACAAAAGCTTGCATCAGTTGGTATTTTCAACCCATATCCATTTGATACAGATAGCAAAACAGCATTATAGTCATCTCTCACAATAAGGTCCTATGTGATAACTTAGACTCAGATAATCCGCGTGTTACTCATGTACTTTGAAAGCAAACCCCATTCGCACTGGTTGAAATTAAATGACGACAAAACCGAGCTCATCGTTTTCAGACCCCAGCGGCTCCGGGCAAAACTTGATCTTCCCACTTTCTCTATTGGGCACTGTGAAATCACACCAAGTTCTCATGTCCGGAATCTTGGTGTAGTATTTGACTCATCTCTCTGCATGGAACCACATGTCAACGGTGTTTGTCGCAGCGCTTATTTCCATATTCGGAATATCGGCCTGATACGCAGGTACCTTGACGTGAAAACGAGTGCTCTGGTGCAGGCGTATGTAACATCACGCATTGATTATTGCAACTCGTTGCTCAGTGGTATTCCAAATCATGTACTACTCAAACTACAGAGAGTTCAGAATTCAGCCGCAAGATTGATCAGCAGAACAAAGAAAATTGACCACATTACCCCTGTCATGAAAAATCTCCATTGGCTCCTTAATCAAATTCAGAATCCAATACAAAGTATTGCTTCTGGTTTTAAATGCATCCACGGACTGGTTCCAGGGTATCTTTCACAACTTGTAAAACACTACGTGCCAACCCGATCTCTTCGCTCCAGTGACCAATCTCTTCTGCAAATTCAATGTACAAGAACAAAGTCTTTTGGTGACCGAGCATTCTCTTCAAATGGTGCAAAACTCTGGAAAAATCTACCACAAGAACTTCGATCACTGACTGAACTTGCATCTTTTAAAAGCCAGCTAAAGACTCATCTTTTTACCAAAGTCTGCCTTTAGCTCCAGCGTGGACTCAGAGCTCCTTTGGGTGATTACATCGGATTCTGGCGCTATAGAAGTATTTGTATGTATGTATTCTGTTCAACAGCAATAACTTCAAAGCCACTTCATTCTTGACAGTCGTATAAACAACACAACAAATTGATATTTACATGTTATTTATTACAGGCGTTTTATGAGCGTTCCGCAGTTGCTAACAAGATTAAAGCATCATTATACAGTAGGTTTTCTTCATCAACACATCCACTGTCCTTATATTTACATGTATGTTGCAAAAATATACACACAGAATGGAACAGGTTCACTGAAGATTGTAATGCCCCTGTCTTTGTAACATTCAGTCAAATCAATAGGGCCAAGATGTCACCCCTGCCTTATCCCTTTTTCCATGTAAACTCATCATTACAGCCCTACAAAATATAACCTTAATGTGTCAATCCTTGCAGTGGTGTGACTGTCACTCCTTGCACTGGTGTGACTGTCGCTCCTTGCACTGGTCACTGATTCATTCAAATGAAGGAAGCTAACTGAAGTTAACCAACTCAAGATTTAATATGATTTGGTCAAGCAAATATTTTAGGATTTACCCTTGGCATGTAAAATCAAGTTCTCAGTAATGGAACCTGGTTAATTTTTTCAGCATTACATTCTCTTTTCCTACAGGACATACAAACACTTTTCCAAGAAACCCTTCACATACTAATATATAAACAGGTACTTTCTATATTATCAGTAACATGGGAAATGAGAAAGTGTCCACTGAGATGAGTGAAAATGACAAAGACTGAGGCATGAAAGCTGCTGATTCTCCTTTACTGTACTTGTCTGATAAACCAGAATACTGCATAGTGTTACAATGTAGAACGTTAAGTTACCATTTCAATATGAGCAGGAATCTACACATCAGCATGAGGAAAGTTAATGAAATATTCTGAAAATAATTACATAATACTGAACAAGAGGGTAGAGTTTTCAGAGAGCAATTGATAAAAACAGGAAGACACAGACATTAAAAGGCAAGAAGATACATATACACTTAAGAATTATCACATATTTATTTTTAGTTTATTTGATTATCGTACTTGTGTCCATTATCAGGTCTTAATCAAACTGTTAACAATACTAACCTTCAAAAATGCTTAATATGTCCATTTATTGCAGTATTCTGAGAGATGTCAAAGTAATTTGTTGTTTGTTATTGAGAAGGAAAACCATGCATATCAAAGAAACAGAACAAAGATATAAAAACAAAGTTTTAAAACACACACAAAAAAAGAAAAAAATGTGTCAAAAATCTGCTTACCATATTTAGTTTCTCTATCACAAAATAAAATCTGATGTTTGTCTATGAGTTTTGCCTAAAGAACAAACTTTTAGAGTGAGTGAGTGAGTATGTTTTTACGCCGATTTTAGCAATATTCCAGCAATATCACGGCAGGGAACACCAGAAATGGGCTTCACACATTGTACCCATGTGGGGAATCGAACCCAGGTCCTCGGCATGACGAGCGAATGCTTTAACCACTAGGCTACCCCACCGCCCCAAAAACTTTTAGAGGCTGAAACTGCTAAACAGAATTATACAGCAATTACTTGAAGGACAGTAAAATATTTTCTACTTCAGTGACTGTAAACCTTAATGTATCTGTTGAATTTGGTGATAAGTGTTATCAGTTATGAGGGCTCATTAATGACGAAGTGTCACAAGCAAGATACATTTTCACACACCTCAAAAATGAACATACCCAGAAATGCCAGGTCAATTATATTTTTTTATTATGGATTTTCTTGGTAAATGCGTTTGAAATAACCAGGAACAATAAGAAATCTAATGTTGATTTTAACATATCTAAAATGAACTCATGATTTTAAATTTAACAAAAAGTATATTTAACATGTAGGTAATTTAAATACATAATTCATTTTTGGATGTTGTTTGCAAAAATGCACTCTCATCTGTAAAACAAGAAAAAATAATCTTTCCGGATAATCTTCAAACAGACCTATACATGATTCTAATCATTTTCAGCCAAATTCTACAGTAAAGCTCTTGTGAATAACATGATAACGAAAGCAGTTCTCAATAATATCACCAATATGGCAACACAGTACATAACTTTCCCTCCTAGTAAACTTATCAGTATCAACTTGATATAACATATGAACTTCAATACTATATTTTCCAGACACTTTTCACCTATTTTTTAATCTAATGAGTATAAAGTTCTTAACAATTTAACTGGTAATATTTATCTATTTCTACCTAACCCTTTTCAAAGAACATACCACATGTTATATATAACAGTGAAGTCAAATATTGAATGTGAAAAAACAGCACTATATTTTTCATTTTAAAAATGTTATATTTTCAACTGTCTTATTAATTTAATTTTCAATAATAGGTAAATTGTCCAAAAAGAGTTTGCAAAATATAAAAAAGGATTAAAAGTTAACTGAGACCTGCTCATAAAATCAATAATGTATCACTAAAATTCTATACAAGTCCAAACTTTCACGCACAAGAAAAACAGTCCATCGTCGATATTGCAAAATACCAATTTTGTCAGTCTAGAACCTAATATTGCATCAAAAGTTCCTTTTCATGTTGGGTGAATAAAATGAAAACAAAATACAAATACATAAAATAATACAAAGTATCGGGAAAAAAACATAATTAATTGGACAATGAAAAATCACTTTCAAGGATTTTCAAGATAAGGATAATAATTAAAGACACATTAGCACTTATTAAATGTAATACAGTAAGCAAATTAAGTGATATTTCTAATTAAATATCAACCTTCACATATTTCGGAATGAAACTTGTGAATAATAAGGTATATGAATATTTGGATTGGTCTGAATGACACAGTTGGTAGTGTTAATTGTAAAATAGATTTAAGAATTAAATTTCCTTATTTTTTAATGCAAAATATGTAACAAATGATTGAGCCTGTGTATTGTATTAAAAATGATGGGATCATATTCTAGTATCATTTTGTACATTCGAAAAAATATTAACCTCAACAACTTGACCACCACAACAATATTCATGGTAAACCTTGCAAAAGTTTTAGAAGCATTCACCACAGATGAAAATGTACACAAATGGCAGTTTCCAATCAACTTCAATAAGCACTCCACGTTTTTACAGTTTGTCAACAACAACAGGAACCCATCAACATTGCAGTCCCATTTTCAACTAATTCAGTTCTCGTACTAAATGCACAAACAAAATTGCAACTTGCACACTGTTTCGGTAACAACTTTCTCACATTCTGCAACCATGGTAACATCTAATGTTTGGACTCTGATGTCAAATCTGGTGTACTTCCACGAAGTCTTTCAGACTGTATCCATGACAACAAAGACCTGTTCTCTGGCACTGCTGTTTCCTTGACAACTGGCTGCAACTGTTCCCAAGCTGATACTTTAGGTTCCGTTTCAGCCTCTTTTCCACTTGTCACAGAAATCAAAGCCTTGAAATGCTCCAAGTCATTAGTGCCTCCCACAGTGTGACGTCGCTTTGACCGTTTTGTGCGCTTCTTGTCACCTACTGGGGACTCGGATCTGCAAGCAGGTTTAGAAAACACAGCTGACTTAACAGCATCTCTGCTACTGAAATATTTCTCTTCCCGGCTCAACTTGGCCAGTGTGGAATTAACTTCAGTCTTTTCTGACTTAGAGATGGGTCTAAAATCAGATTTACTCACAGGTTTCGTTTCCAGTTTCTTTGGTTGGGTCAACGTCGGTGGAGATGTCACCGTCACTGTAGCACCCGTTTCATTCACAGGCTTACCTGTGAACTTAAATGGAAAGGCTTTTAGTTCCTGAGTAGACTTGCGGTTCTGCAACGACTGTGGACTCCCAGTTACTGGAAGAACTGTTGCGGTGGATTGAGGCGGTGTGACTTGACTCCCTCGCTCAAAGCGAGATGCAATACCAATTTTAGTTTCAGATTTTGAGGACCTGTGGAGACTTGGGTCCCGGAAAGGTCTGTCCCGAGAAAAATCCCCAATTCCGGGCACCCCGTGTTGTGGGAGGACCACTGGAGTGTTCTTGTGGGGGACAACCTCCACAGTCTTCTCCACATCATTGTCCTTGTCCTCTACAGCCTCCTCCACATTACTAGCACAACTCACGTCCTCAACCCTGTGTCCTGCCCTCCTGTTTCCACTTAGTTTATACTTAGGATTCAAAAGAATTTGCAACTTCTGATCAAAGGTCGTAGTCAGACTTGTGAGTAGATCCGATCCATCTTCCGAATCAGACGATGCCCACGAACCACGATTGTCCTGTTTATCATACAAATCAATCAACGAGTCGAGTGACCCATGTCGTACAGACCCTCCTCGGACTCAGGGTCCCATGTGGTCTCTTCTTCTCACCATCATGCCTAGAATCTCTTCGTCCATCCCTCTGCCGATAGCTCGGCCCACGGACATGAGACTGTGGTGGATGGATGTGTCCGTGACTGTCTAATATATTCTCCAAGGAACCAGCTCGGGAGAAGCGGGGAGCCAGGGAGTCCAGACTGCCCTGGGTTACCCGACCACCACTCCTTTCCCTTGACCTTCCCCGAGTGTTCCCGATACTGACAAAATACTTCCCGCCATGACCCCTGTCGTGTTGTGAGTCTGGTCTCCTTAACTGGACCTTCCCGTCAGAATGACCCCCGGACTGAGATGAGTCCGTGGAAGGATAATGTCTGTGACTTGCCCCGACTGATCCGCGGTTATCACTCCCTGTATACTCAGATGTATCCTGGAGTCTATGTGAATAGTCTGGTCTCCAGTTCAACAAATCTTCGACACTATGAGTCTCTTCCATCTCCATCTCTTTCTTCGTCTCTGATACTCCTGTTCAATCCGCTGTTGCTCACGACGACATTTTTCCATGTCTCTCTGACGCTGTTCTTCGCGTTCACGAAGTGCACGAGCCTCGTACTCGATACGCTTCAATCGGTCAAGTGTATCTCGACTCAAACTCCATGTACTGCTCATACCATGCGACATCTCCAGTTCATCATTCCTATCAAGCAAGGATTCATCAGAATAATGCCGGGAAAATGTGCTCACATTGAAAGACTTTGATTGTGGTTTAAACTCAGACTTGCTGTCCATGCAGTCAAAATCCAGCGAATCTGTCTCATCAACTGTTGATTGCGGAAGTGACTTCATAGTCGAGGAGGAGAGTTTGCGATCAAGGAATTCCTCAGAAATACTGCGAGACGATGGAACGGAGCTGATCGTGGATTGTGACTTGCTCATCTTGGTGGCACTACTTGCCTTCCGACTAATTTCAAGGTCGATATCACGTTCATTGAAGGACTCGTCAAAGTCGAGTGAGTCCATGCTCTTCTGGTTTTGTTTGCTGTGGAGTTTCTTGTGTGCAGCACTGATGATAGAGGAGACGATCTCACGGGTGTTGATCACAGAATCAAGGTCCTCTGCAAGCAAAACCTTGATGTCAGAAACTTATAGCCGATACAATAATCTAAATTTTTTACCTTCTGGTCATCTTTCCACAATCTATTTACATAAATTACTAGGTCAGAAAACATATAATAAATCTATTTAATTACTATTATTAGTATTGGAATCACTGAGATAAGATATACAAAACATATTCAAAGACATCTATTCATTGTATGAAGGGGATTTGTGAGGGTGTATTGAATATACTTGATATATTGTATATGAATATTTGTATGAATATACTTATGTGAATGCATTCTTCATGTACTATGTAAAATGTGGAAATAAAGATGATATAAAAAAAAAAATATATAAAAAAATCATTCTAAATTGCATACCTCACCTAATAGTAACACATTCAAACAAAACATGGAATCCATGGAACTAAATGAAATATCAGCACACCAAATTTTAACTTTCATCAATATTGAGCCAACCATTTTGATAACATTGAAATGAAAATCATGCTGCAAATATTCTTCTTCGTATTGCTGTATTTCAAACATTTTTCAAGTAATAAAATTATTATTACCATATTTCAACCAAGCTCTTGTCAAGTGCAATCTCCATAACAAAACATAAATAAACACCTTGAACATGGCCACACAAAATGTCATCCTAGACAAGGACACAGACAATATGTCATCCACACAAACTCACCATCATCGTCCCGCATGACTCGGATGTCGGAGGTGACCGGGGTTTCGCAGACCTCCTCAGAAGGGACAGTGTGATCATCCTCCCAGGAACTGAAGAACCAGTCAAACTGCAAGAAAGGATACAATTGTATGTTTAGTTGGTTTGTTGTTTAACACCACACACAGCAATTGTCCAGCTATGACAGAAGTCTGCACATAATCAATTCTTGACCAGACAATTGATACCTTTTCACTTGGCGTACTTGAAACACTGCTTATCCTTTTATTGGTTATTTTGAAGCAGTGATGGAATAATTTCACTAATAAACACATTAGTCACCAGAATATTCAAAGTTTGGTCACTCACGAAGAGGCGTCCTTTAATATTATGAGAGTAAAAACAGTAGACAACAGTATCGGCACCAAGAGACCTGCACATGGAGTACATTACTCTTTGGAACAATCAGAATCAGAATTAAGTATAACGATCTAAAAAAACCATTCCATCATTCACCTTCGGGTTGGAATAACAAGGGAGGCAACTCTTGGCACTTACATGAATGATGATGCTCTCAACGATGTGACACTGATCAGACATGTCTGTCACCATGGAGATGGTGTCATCCTCAGATTTACGAATCAAGGTGGGACCAAACATTGTGGCAAGGTTTTTGGCATTCATCTGAAACAACAATAACAACAATACTAACTATACTGTTTGTTTATAGTGTATACCGTGGCACTAAGCCACACTTTAACTATAATCACACAAACAGATTACAACTTACCAGCTATCCATCTCAAATATTGTTAAGTAACATTGGTCACAGAGAGTCCTTGGATGGGTGACCAGCTTGACTCCTGACAGTTTCTAGGACTTTTGTTCTGCCCCACAGCAAAGCACACATGACACGTGTACCTTAGGCAAGTTAGTTTGTTCAGATCTGAGTAACACCCAGCATAAACTGGGTACCCGGTGGTATAAGTCATGTGACTATTAACCTTCTAGCGCCTCACAGGCAGCTTGGGTTCGCCAGGGTTATAATGTCCATCATACTGTTAAAGCATACCAGTGTGGCGTGGAATTCAGTGCTATATAAGTGGCCTTATAGTTATTACTAATAAATACACATTGCTGATTCTGGAATCTCTATCACGAGAAATGTAGGTCCTCATCCCCACCTTGTTGATGTGTCCAAAGGCTGCGACCCGGTTCAGATGCTCTGCCATCCTCTTGAATGTCTCGAAATGATGCTCGGGAAGAGTGTGGAGTCGCCTCTTCAGTTTTAGCATCCGCTTCTCCGGGTCCGAAATACGATTAGCCTCGATGAAACTCCCATAACATTCTGAAATTGAGTAACACACATGTACTATCTAGTTACAATAAGGATCATCACACAGAGGGTTACAAATCTGTTGGTCCAAAGTTTGTAAATTGTGCAACACATGTAATATCTAGTTACAATAAGGATCATCAGACAGAGGGTTACAAATCTGTTGGTCCAAAGTTATTGCTGAGAACAATTGAGTGTTTAATGGTCTTGGTTAATTAAACTTGTTCTAACAGTTGTGGCAATCAAAAGTAACCTCACATTACTTGATCTAGGTGGTGAGGCTAAGCTAACCCAAGTTATCATAAAACTTGGAGGCAAACTTGGATGCCAGTGCAACCTTGAAGTAAGTGAGTGAAGTTTTAGCAATATTCCAGCAATATTACTGCGGGGGACTCCAGAAATGGGCTTCACACATCATACCCTTATGGGTCTCAATTTTCTACCCGAGTACCCCACCCCCTATTACCCTACCCTACCCTGATACCTGTTATGATAATTCCAGACATCAACTTCGTAAGAAATGGCAATATATTCTTCAGCTCAGAGTCTAAAATTTCAAGTTTTTCAATATCTTAACCATTTATTATATTCAAGAGAAGAAACTGTAATTATGTCTAAATTTTCAAAGACAATACAACCTTTCAATCATGAAATAATAACATATTACATTGTTTAATATCACATGATCATAATGGGTCCGGGTATTGAGATGGGTACCCGGGTCCAACTCATTACCCACATGTCCCGGGTATCCGTGTTATCCAGCCATACCTTATGGGTAATCAAACCCTATACTGCAAATTACATCTTACATGTTGCAGTAGATTTAATTGGGCCTTCGTAAGTGGATGGGTAGTTGCTAATTTCTTATAGGATGGGATTGGTGGACCCGAACCACAGATTTCCTTGGTCCACAGTATGAAATAATATGAAATGATGGCCATGGAAGAATGGTGTGATCATAAAATTGCCTTTGCCAAATCAAAACTCTTTTTGTCACTGGCTGGATGTTAAAAGTGCTAAGGCTCCTGCACAAACCAGCTCTGGAACGAGTTTAGCATGCCTTTGCCAAATTACATTAGTTTGGGCCGCCAGCTGTAGAAGCGGTAAGCCTCCTGGAAACCAATACTAGAACCAGTATAACGTGCTACAGGTGTCAACTCACTGTTCGTGACGAGGGGTTCAGGCAGCTTTCTGAAGAATGCTTTCAGTAGCGAGCTGATCACATTCACATCCAACCATTTCTCGTTGTCAATATTCACATTTTCAATTCCCTGCAACAGAAAATACAGTGTTAAACGTCAAAGACCCTGTCTTCACCTGTACTGTTAACAGTATTTTTCTGACAGTGAACAAGAGTATTATTTTACTGAATTTGGGTATTTGGGGAGAGCAAGTGAGTGAGTTTAGTTTTACGCCATTTTTAGCAATATTCCGGCAATATCATGCTGGGGATCTCCAAAAATGGCATTCACACATTGAACCCATGTGGGAATTGAACACAGGTCATAGGCATGACGAGCAAATGCTTTAACCTTCTGGCTACCACACCAACCCCAGATTCGGTTGACAAGTAAGGGGTGTAAGATATAACAAAGGGATGAGAATGGGATGAGGGTGATTGTTGAATAACATTTTGCTCTGGGTTCTGTATGAGGCAGAATTTCATGGTTTGCATTGCCATGAAGAGTAGATGGTTGTTCCTTGCTACCTTGTTGAGCTCCTCTTGCATGTTCTGTACAGCAACTGAGTTGCCTGGCACCCGGTACACGCCGACAACCTCCAGACCTCGAGCCTCCACGATACGGGTACATAACTCCACAATCAGGGGTACATACTGCAAGAGAACATGTATCATACATTGAGTGCTGTCTGTGAAATACAAGTCAGCTCAACAAAGACATAAAACTACTTTAATATTATGAGGAATATGCAAATCCAACCCAAGAATGTTTACTGACTGGGGGCCGAATGTTGGCTTCAGAACATGTCTAAATAAATCACCAAAGTCACCGAAAGACATCTTTTCATAGGAACACACAGGATAGAATTGAGGATTTACTGCCCTACACATGCACAAGGGCACTGGGCACTGGAAGACTATTACCCATATGACTGATTATGGATAGTGGTAATTGAGAAGACTTCTGTTGAAAATCTAATCTTATTAGTATGATGACAGCTAAAATATAGCATTACGGCCATGATATAATAGTGGTAGGATATTCTCAGGAATTATTTCTTCACATAGGCATGAAACTATATTCATGATTCAATCCATATTCAACAGCATGAATGATGAGTTGTGCTTTCAACCCAATAACACAACCTCTATCACTACGTCTGTAACAATACCTACCTCGATGTGCGGCGATGGCATACACTGGTCGAGGGACACTCCAAAGGCTGCTGTTTTCATACATTCCTCATCCATCTCAGACAGGGCGGTGGAACTGTTGTTCTCGTGGTGTTTCTTGAAGCTTGGCATGATGCGTTCCTTCCACCCTCTCGACTTGGTGTCTGGAGGTTACATACAATAATTCAGACATTATACTCTCTGTGGAACCATAAACCCAGGACTTCAGACCATCTCTCACACCATACATTACACAACAAGGGTGACGTTGTACAAAACAACCTTAGCGCTAAGACTACCTTAAGTCTATGTTAAGGTATGGGAGTTATGATCACCTTAGCGCTAAGACTACCTTAAGTCTATGTTAAGGTATGGGAGTTATGATCACCTTAGCGCTAAGACTACCGTAAGTCTATGTTAAGGTATGGGAGTTATGATCACCTTAGCGCTAAGACTACCTTAAGTCTATGTTAAGGTATGGGAGTTATGATCACCTTAGCTCTAAGACTACCTTAAGTCTATGTTAAGGTATGGGAGTTATGATCACCTTAGCTCTAAGACTACCGTAAGTCTATGTTAAGGTATGGGAGTTATGATCACCTTAGCTCTAAGACTACCGTAAGTCTATGTTAAGGTATGGGAGTTATGGTCACCTGATCACCTTAGTCTATGTTAAGGTATAGGAGTTACGATCACCTTAGCGCTAAGACTACCGTAAGTCTATGTTAAGGTATGGGAGTTATGATCACCTTAGCGCTAAGATTGCTTTGTACAGCGGCACCAAGAAGGTTTTGAGCTAAGGGTATTTCTGTATCATAAACATCATTTATCATGCTAAACAATTGCTGATTGCCATTAAACAAGTCTGATAAACGTAGTACTATGATCTGAAAAATTTACACAAGGTCGACTGGCAGGAACTACAGTACAACTAGAAATAATTGAGCATTTAAAGATTGTAATTTTTTATATTTTTTTCACTCATTACTTACATATTAAATGTGAATATTTGCAGAACATAACTCCAGATTCAAAGACAGGTGAACAGTTAGTATTTTGTCAAGTCACCATGGGCAGCAATGCAGGCTTCAATGCGGCGGGGCATACTACTGATCAAAGAAGTTAGAAAGTCGTGGTCCATATCGGACCACCTCTTCTTTCATTTCAGCAATATTTGTCAGATTTTTCTTATTGACACTTTCCTTCATAAGTCCCCAAACATTTTCTATTGGATTTAGGTCAGGGCTATAGCTTGGCCAATAAAATAATGTCATATTTTGGGTCCTAAACCAGGCCTTTGAATGCTTTGAACGATGTTTTGGGTTGTTGTCCTGCTGGAAAATCCAAAACTTTCCATAGAATACGTGAGCCGATGGAAGTAAATGTCCCTTGAGAATATCTGTGTACCGCTCACTGTTCATATTCCCTTCAAATACACAGAGGGGCGTTGCCCCTAACACAGATATGCCACCCCACTCGTTAAATTTCGGACTGTACTCTGGGCGCTGATACAAAGGTTTTTCAGTTTGTTTGGTCCAGAATTTCAGTGTATTAGGAAACAGACACACAGAACTTTCCTCTGAGAAAATCACATTGTCCCAGTTAAAATTTCTATGCTGTAAGCACCAGTTCAACCTTCGCTCCTTTTGTTCAGGTTTCATGATCGGTGATGGAATTCCTCGACTTTTCTACCAACCCATTGCATGCAGCTCAGTTCTAATTGTCTCATTACAGACAGCCACAGTTCCTCTATCAATCATATCCAGCCTTAAGTTTTCTAAACTCCTTCGTTTGTTTTTAGGAACAAGAATGCCAAGCCGCCTCCTGTCACTGACAGTCAATTTTCTGGGCCTACCTGGTGCTCAATGCCATATCCATTTGCAATATTTTTCAAAACACGACAAACAGTGGACAAAGGGATGCCTGTCCTACTTGAAATCACTTTAGCTGATCTGAAGTCCTTGTTATAATACTCTAAAATCAACTTCCTCTTCTCTAAATCATCCATACTGAGGATCACTGAAAATGTCGTCTGCTAGCAAGTAAACAAAGGGGGATAACTCTTCACAAACTAATGAAAATGGATTAACAGAGTTGTCTCTCTTGAATGAAACCAAGCACTTGATAGCTGGTCAAGGTTGTTTATACTACAAATCGAATTAAACATATTCCTAAAATTCTCAATAATTTCTGGTCATACTATACCTTTATGCAACATACATCGGTGTAATGTCTGTTAGATCAAAATGTTTTTCATCTGATTAAATCATTGGTCTGATGTAATTTGAAATGGGGTTTCCAAGTGTATGGGTGTTCTATAGAAGGCCCTGGCTGGAACGTATTTGGCACTATATGATAACTAGGGAAATTCTCTCACATTGGATTCATACATGGTTTCTAAAGATACTTCATAGAGTCAGATTTGTTAGTTTGTTTGTTGTTTAAACCCGCACTTGGCAACATTCCAGCTATATGGCTGCAGTCTGTATATAATCAAGTCTGGACCAAACAATCCAGTGATCAATATCATGAGCATCGACCTACATAGTTGGGATATGGTGACAATTTTAATCATGACATACAATGAAGAAATTATCAGTATTAAAAGTTTCTGTACCGGGTTGACTCGTTAATTCAGTTCTTATTTCTCACATCTAATTCCTCAGATATGTAAACATGGTCAACACTCTCTACATATTACAAATAACTCCAAACTCACCTTTCTCACTTCCTGTCTTCTTCCGTTTGACACTGGGAGAAGCGGCTTTCTTGAGGGACAGAGCACTATGTTTCTTGCTGGGCTTGTGCGCTGCGGTGGGGGACGTCTTGACCGTCAGTTCCGCCTGGGAAGATTTGCGGCGGATCAGGTCGGCGTTACCAATTCCTTCATCCTGGAGGAAAATTCAATTTCATCCATAACATCTCTGGAAACAGGTGCGTCAGGTCACAGACGTTGTTTTTCAATAGTAACATTTATATGGAAACTGTGGCAGGCAAATTGGTCATCCTAGCATTGGTAACACCAAATGGTTCAAGAGCTACGTAGCATTTCATGCTGTAGATCAAGCATGCAGTTAGTTTCATTGAGAGGTATTTTAGAAGTAGTAAAGATGAAAGAAAATCAAGTTCTATGGATAGTCAACTTCTTTATTGCAATGAGTGCGATCTTTTGGTGAAGGTACTACATCACTTGTTTGATAACGGTGTTAGTACCTAAACCAAACGTTGCACTCATTATATAGAACAAACTTTATGGATAACAACTTCTTTTTATTCGTGAGTGCGACGTTTCGATACAGATTCTTGTACCGTTGTCAAGCATATTTTACTTCCCAACTTCTAAAATGCCACTCAAAGAAGTTGCACTCATTGCAATAAAGAAGTTCACTATCCATAGAACTTGATTGTCCTTCATGCAGTTACTGTTTACCCAGATGTTTGTCAGGCTTTCAAAACAGATCATAGAGATAAAAAATAATCATGAAATAAATATCAATTGATTATTGACAAATATCGAAGAAGTATCTTTGAGCAAAAAATGCAGAAAAAGTCAAAATATTTCACTGGTGAGAGTTGACACATTTATACATGGATTACTAATAAAATCAACATTCAGAACATAATATTGTAGCAGCCAATGAATGAAGAACACTTTATGTATTATCTGTGTAAATTAATTCTTCATGTCACCACAACAGTTCATGTAAGATGTCATCGATGACACAATTTTCACACTAATAATCTGTTATTGATTTGTCCAATCAACAATATTTCCAATTTTTAATCTTCTTGCAAGCCCTGTCCCAATTATACCCATGGACAACATCTCAAATTCACTCATTACAGTGAGTTTATCAAATTTAAAGTCACTTCGAAAAATATTTAAGTAGCATCACAGCAGGACTGCTTTAAGGTTGAACATTCACTCTAAGGTTGGTCACGAAACACACAAAATAGACACCGTGCACTCAAAAATAGAAACGCAATCAGGCAATTCTGCATTGCAAAGCCATGCTCATAGGCTCCTGGAGGGTCTAAGGGAAGCAACTCTGCAAAATGAACAGCAGTGCAAAGAAGTCTGGGACTTGTTATGGTGATTGTCATGAAAGACAAATTCCTTCACTTGATAGCTTCAGCATGATAAGCAAATTCAGAGCAATACTTACAGCCTTTGGGATCATCAAAAGCAAAATGGTTCTTAATGATAGTTTTGAAATATGCAAAGTTTTTTTAACAACACATTGAAGCAGCTATAAGCTCAATTCAATGTGGCATGAAAATGTGCAATTTAGCCAAATCTTTGAATTATATACAAAACCGTCTAAACTTTGAAGCAGGCATGATTTGAGCAGGCTAATTTGAGCAAGCATGATTTGAGCAGGCATGATTTGAGCAGCAGCATTTCTGATTGATCAAGCATACAAGCATCACATCTACCAACTTCATCAATATCTTACACGTCTCTTTCTTACATCGCAATCTGGGTTGTTGTTGGTTTTGATTGCTTGTATCCATAGCAACATGGTACCCTTGTCATCGGCCTGGAAGAGGTACTCGGATCCATTGTACGTGACGAGCTGAAACACGTGCTTCTTCCGTTTGGCATACTCGTGTTTAATGTCCACCAAACTGGACTTGATGGAAATTGGCTTCTCATCGTCAAAGTTGAATGTACTCTGTAGGCGAAACAACATACATTATGCAGACATGTCACCCCCAAATGAGGCATTTAATACTTGGGGTAACTGACACCTAAACTTGTAAATTTAAAACAAAATAAAATTACTCATGGAGTTGTCATTGACTGGAAATTTCAAATATATCAAGATATACTGATATATTATTATGAATTGAGTGATGCTATATGATACAGATAAAATTATCTGTGCAGACCAGTAACTTAATGACACATATGGTTGAAGCTGATTCATTAAATGTCTAAAACTGGATTTTCTGCCTTCTCATAGTCTTAATGATGGTAATCTAGATAAATCTAAAGAAATTTCTGCAGTGAATCATTGATTTAGTATTCATATTCATAGATTTATATCAATACAGTATTGAGATCAGGAGTTGGTCTATACATGGATGTATAAATTACAGTGACATCGTTAAATACTGAAAGGTAGATATTTTTAATGACATCATATTAAGACAAGGTCAATATTATACAATTATAGACTGGTGATGAGATCAATACCTGTTTTTATGGACCCGCGAATAGCAATATTGGCCTCGGACTTCGTCCTCGCTGGTCCATAAAAACAGGTATTGACCGAATTCGCCAGTCTATAATTGTTTTATTATGTAATTACCAAAAATAGTTTCTAAAATCCAAAACATGTCCATTTAGTCAAAAATAGTAATTTTATTTTCACTACAAACCAATAACGTTATGTCAACAATACTGTGACATGTAAACAATAGAATGATGTCATAGCTTGACGTGAATGACGTCATGGCTCGACGTCATAGTAACTCAGGTCAATATGACTTGTTTTGGTCGGACCTGGGTTGGAGTCAATATGCTTTTCTGTCGACGGTCATGTGACCGCCTCTAGACCAATCAGGTAGCCGGAAAACTATGCTTACATAATAAAGTTTCTTGTTCTGAGATAAGGTTAACATAAATTTGGATAAAACAAAACACACTGACAAATAAAAACACCATTTGAATGGAGTTATATTTCAGCATGTAATTCTTAAAATGTTCATTTTTGTCCCCATGTAAGCATTGCTGGAATATTGCTACGCCAAACTCAGTCAAAGTCAGTCTTAAAATGTTATGTTTCAAAAAAAATTCTTTAGGCATTCATAAAACTTTTAAATTTTTATTTAATCTCAGACATATTGACTAAGTAAATATTTTTGCACTGGCAGGAAGGAAGGACTGACATGAAAGATTTATGACATACTGTCTTCTTATTTTTCACTTGTCACATTTGTAACTCAGGTTGTCATGCTTACAAACTCACCTGGGTCTCTTTTCTTTCTTTGAACAAGAACAAACAATGACCTCGCAGCACGACCCAGACTTCCTTCCATGATCGGTCGCTCGATTTCTGAAAGTTGGAACCAAAATTCAATACACCACAACAAACCACTGTCATTACGATTTCAGGCAGACACTCTATCCACTGGACCAAAGGCAGTTGCTATAGAAACAGCAACATTTGCTGCATTATGTTGCAGTATGCTGAACAGCATTGGTTATACCACAAAGTGTTATCTTGATGTGGGAGGCACAGGTAGGGTGCTAGCAAACTCCAGACTTCACCATTTCAGCAAAATTTATAGAACCAAAAAAGCAGAATGTTCACCATTTTGGTGAGATCCACGAGCACATGTATGGAGCTACAAAACTTATAAACCTTTCTAGTTAGGTCAAACCTACAAGTACAGGTATGGTGCTGACAAAGCTGAACCTGGATTCAAACCCAGGATCATAGGTTGCAGCAGATCAAAGGGAGGCAACTCTGCCTTGGTTTAGTTGTATACATAAATCCTGGGTCCAGTTCCTCAAAGCGATCGTAGCGCTAAAATGATCGTAACTCCCATACTTTAACATTGACTTACGACTGACGTAGCACTGCGATCGCTTTGAGGAACGGGGCCCTGTACTTTTCACTCTACAAATAACCAATCTGCTTGTTGAACTCACCTTTCCATCAGTGATGGTGGTTTTACAAGTCAGCCATCCCTCTTTCACGATGTCTGCGAGCGGAGATTCTGGCATCTCTATCTTCGGCTCCATTGCCTCGATGATACATGGAGTCTGAAACATGGAGGGCATGGCATCAGTAGCTAGAGGATTAGAGAATGAGTGACTGGGTGAGTGAGGTAACATGGGAAACTATACGTTTTCTCATTACACTGATTATTTCTACAGTATCATAATACGTATTGATCAAAGTACCAGGAGTTCCTGGATTTAAGCCCTCTCATTAATAATAAATAACCCATAATTAAGCCCACAGCTTAAATTCTGGAAATGCTTGTAACTGAAGAAAATGATTCTAAGACACGATAAAATGGAATGAACTTTAATATAACAAAATAATACAGAACACTTGAACCACAAACAGTCACTGTCATTAACCTGAACTTGAATGACATCCCCTCTTTTGATGAAATGTTTACATACTTTACTCTGTGCTTTGGGAACGTGTTCTATGATACTATCATATTTTATTGAAACTGCGTGTGGGCCATATGGATTGAGATTGTCTGTTTGAGTATATCACCTCCATATACATGCAAACCTCTAACTGCACTACAAACGTGCACTACAAACGTTATATTAGCTGACGTGTGCTTTGTGTTTTTGCAAAGGAACATGATTCTAAACAATAAAATTTGAAATCTTTATTTAGGCCCATGGGCTTAATAACGGGGAAATATCCCAGGCATAATTACAAGTGGGCTTGAATACGGGAAATCCTAGTATACAGGTGTACAGGTTATACTGTGCACACTTTACAAACAGAGATCATTCTATGTGATAAGAAACATCTACATGATTACCATTTCTTGCATCGCAAACGTTAAACCTTAGCAAACAACACTTCCATGAAAATTCTGTACATTTTCAATATTCTCTCAGTCTCCACTAAATAAGTACGTGGTGCATATTCATTCTGTATTCATCAACATTTGCTAAAGTACTGACAAGTAAAGGATAAAATTCTTACCTTTTCACCAAAGAAGTGTTTGATCTTGTTCAAGCTAGGTTTGTGTGGGGGAGTAGCCAGCCTATGGAAAACAATGAGAAGAGTTATCTCCCTTCCACCAACAACAAATCTGACATCACAACCTGAGCACAACAGAAGGTATCTATTTTCATTTAAAACATGACAGAACTATACTTCTTTAGGCAGTATATAGTAATCTGCACCTAAACTCCACCTATGATTCATATCAACTACAGAAAACAATTATGAACATTTACATAACTTGAATCTTATCATTAAAAAATGGCTTCAAATATGGCTGTCAGAAACATACACACACAAATACATTCAGTTACAATTACACATTTCTCCCTGCAGACTGAAGTGAAAAAATGTGGTAGGAATTCCACCTCAACCCATGGTTGTTGGGACTTGAACCCAGAAACTGGGCGGTGAAGAGTTGAAGGAGTGACTTACTGTCCCTCGGGAATAGAGGCTGGTGGAGAGAAGGACTGTTCATAGGGCTTCTGGTTGGAGCGATCTCGCAGTTGCCATTAGGTAAGATGTCCGCCTATGGAGCTTAACCGCCTCCTCCTCTGGAGATGCTGAAAGACAAAACATACATCCAATTTAGTGATGATGATTGTAATATAATTCCTGCTTCAAGCTGTAGGATAGTTCACACCAATTGTCCATTCGTTTGTGCAGCAACCTGGTATATCAACTCAATTAAGTCATTGTATAAAATCTTCATATTCATTATCTTTAGCATTGATAAACACCTGCAGATTTGAAATAACCACTACTTCAAACATATCTGTTTCAACCACTGCAGATGTAGCAATGACATTTCTAGTAAATCACTGGAAACATCCAACCAAAAAAGTGCCAAGAAAATATTTCCATGACAACGTACCTATGGTCTTGGACCTCATCTGTACTCCTGGCTCAGAGATGACTGTATCCATGGAGCTTCCGAGGAATGTTGAGCCGGATGTTGAGACGGCATCCATCCGAGACAGCATGACCCCACCATCACTGGAGGACATGACTAGAGGAGGAGCGAGGGAGTGATTATTCCATAACACACCACCAGCAGTTATCTGGCATCAATTCTCAGTGGACTAAAGAGAGAAAGCTGTTAATCTGGATCCACTTGCACAAGGGGATCTTAGTGCTACAATTGTCTTAAGACTATGTCAGGACATGGGAATTACGATCATCGTAGCGCTAAGATAGCTTTGTGTCAGTGGGCCCTTGCCATTACGTTTGTTCGTTTGTCACTTAACATCACACAGTATTGTAACTATTTAGAGTCTATAAAAATATCAATTCTAGAAGGGACAATAAAGCGACTTTCGTCATGAGTGTCATTCTACGCAATTGACATACGATGACATGTTACAGCCATGTGAGTAAACCTGACCACCCAATCCTGTTTGCCTCCAACAACAAGTATGTGTTTCTGAAGACAGGTTCCAATCTGCCTCTAACAACAAGTATGTGTTTCTCAAGACAGGTTCCAATCTGGTTCTACATGCTGGTCAGGGAGCAACACCACCTTAAAGGGGGACTGTGTTCCTTGACTGAGTTCATTCCCATTTAATCAAGCTGCCCAATGCTGGCTCAATTCTCATACAATATACAGCCTTGGATTAATCCACAAGCCTTCAGGACTCGAGAAACTCCACTAAACCACAGACTGGCACAGAGGTCAGTAACAACAAACTTAACTGGATTTGGTCTTGTCAATAATGTGCCTGTCATAAGCTATAATTAGCTGGGTTTAGGTTTGATCAGGACTTCAGTTATAATAGCAATGATGCAAGCAAAGATGTTTACCACTTCATTAAGCCAAGTACACCTATGGATCTGACAATTACAAAACCATGACAAATTTGGTATTAGAACCCATAATAATAGGATCCTGACATGCCAAAGGGACATAATTGAGAAATGCAGTGGTTAAACAACAGGTCCATTCGTGTCTCTGTCACTTCAAAATGTACTCTGTTGCTTGTTTGCTTTTCTGTGACAGTTGCCAGTAAATAATCAAGTCCGGACCACACAATCCAGTGGTCGATATCATGAGCAACAAACCATTCAGGGTACACTTTCGACTCAATGATGCTGTCACTGTGTCTAACCATCTGATCTGGTCGGTTGCCTTGTTTGACAAGCATTTGGGACCCATCCTAACCAGGAATCTCTACAGGGAATCATTCTGAAGACATTCACTTCATCGAGAGACAAAAGTTTATCCATTATGGGGAAATGATTACATTCGGCATCAATATCATCGCAATAAAACTCTGTTTACCACCAACTGAGACACAATGTAACGAAAATCTCATACACTGATGTGATACCTTAGTGAAGATCTGACAACTCAACAGCAGGTTGCGTCAGGTGAACATTAATGAACTTTGACCTTCCAATCATGATGAATGATGCTTGGGTTTGTAGCCAATCAGACGTCAGCTTTCTTAATGATTTCATTTCATGCCATAACCCGTTCAATTTTGAAATTTCAACTTTACAAAACAAAATCCACAAATACAAATATTCCTTCATTGATATTTTTGGAGTAGATGGTGTGACACGCATAAACCATGGTGAATGAAATATCCACAAAATAATGATGCAGCCTTAACTATATGCACTTGGAACGCTCTGTTTGACAATTTTTCATGGCATAAGACAACCTATCACTGCCTTGAAACAGATACATAATTGGTGGACCGATGAAAAGAGGTAATCGAAGATTATTCAGTGACTAAGCAACCATTCAACTGATCACGTTTTCTCACAATCGAACACAAACAATTTTGGAACACTTGTTTGTATCAACAATATTTTTTCACAAGGTTGGTTTTGTCTGTGTCATAAAATATACATTTCATACGTACTACGAACTCGTTCCTAGTCATGACTGAATTTATCCTAAAGGCCACTGGAAATGTATGTTCCTAACATACTAGTCATCCTTTAAAGATATGAAATTTGCAAACGTAATTTTGTGCAATTTGAAAAAAAACAAAAAAACCAAAGAACTACATGGCTTTTTTCATTATTTTTTTTGTGCATGAACAAACATAACAAGAAAATGCGATAAATGACGCTAACCAATTATTTTCGATGATTGATCAGTTGTAATGAACCAATCATCAATTATGAGATTTTAACCAATTCTCAACACTACACACAACTGAAGATTCTAACAGTTCAAAATCTAAGAGTTACAAATGTACCACACACTCTATGGCCATTTCCATGTGTAATTATGCATCAGCTGGCCTGAATGCTTTGTACAAAACAATTGGAAACCTTGACGCGCATTGCTTACTGTCTTCGGATCTTCACACAGATAGTTATGAAATTGACGTATAGTCGCGATTTAAATGAGCAAACACATGGGAGTGCAACACACAAACACATATACTGATACATATATTGACACAAATAAATACGAAAGAGAGAGCATGCTAATAATAAAATACCAACCCAAGTTAGAAAACATATTAGTGGGGTTAAACATTTTAGAAAAATCACAAAGGGCCAAAAGAATGCAAACATTAAAAAAAACAATATTGATGAATGATGACATACAGATTTGTCCAAATCTGTTGAAAAATTTAATCTTTTGATTTGAAACAAAATTTTTGAGCAGGAACCTTTAAATAAAATTGGCATTAAACAAGATGTCCTTACCATTGAAAAAGACTTGACAGTTTTCTGATTTCTTCCCTAAAATGTTTAACCCCGTAGTGTTTAGTAGGGTTGTCACAATGTACTGATACCGATACTTCAGTCTTGATACAATACGTATCACAATATTTTCATCTGTATCTTCCTAGGGTTTTACTTGGTCCGTCTGTAATCGATAACAAGAGGCCAGTTGCTGTTTGTAAGCAGCTTTTGTTTTTCTCACATGACGAAAACTAAAAGTTTATCAGTATGCTGTCAGATTTACCACTACATCAATACATGTATGTATAATTTTTAAGGTAATTTTAGTGGTACTGTTAGTCCTGCTTACCGACAAATTAAATTTTGGACTCGGGGGTAGCATATCGTGAAGCGTATCATCGTGACAACCCTGATGTTTCGTGAGCGAGCGGAGAAGTGAGGTTTGCGGCAGACCAACCTGAAGGGACATTGCTATACGAGGAGAATAAACTGACGCTGCCTGCACTGGAACCTAGGCTAGTGGTCGAACCCAGGGGCTCGGGGATACTCGAGGGACTTTCCAGATTGTCCAGCGTGTCGTCGCCATCAACATCATCTTCGTCATCATCTGATGCATCATGGGAATCTGATGAAGGGGCGATATATTTTGAATTTCGCTGGCTAGTTTTAAGAGAGTACTGTGTGCTGGCTAGTTTTTACCATAAGTTATATCCATGATGCATCTTGGGTAGATGGATGGATGGATGGAGGATGGATGGATGGATGGATGGATGGATGGATGGATGGATGGATGGATGGACTGGAAGGTGGTTGAGTGGATGCATAGATGATGAAGTGGACAGTGGATGTGTAATGAATTGGTTGGGTGATGGGAGGATGGATTCTAAGTCTATGGATGGATTGGTGTACTGATGGATGGGAGGATTGGTATGCACATGGATGGATTGATGGATGGATAGATATATGGGTGGGTATGCACATGGATGGATGAGCAGATGGAAGGATATATGGGTGGGTGGGTGGGTTGATGGAAGGATGGATGAGCAGGTGGACTGGTAGGTGGATGAGTGGAAGATGGTTAGGAGATGGGAGGATGGATTCCAAGTGTATGGATGGATTGGTGTACTGATGGATGGGAGGATTGGTATGCACATGGATGGATTGATGGATGGATAGATATATGGGTGGGTATGCACATGGATGGATGAGCAGATGGAAGGATATATGGGTGGGTGGGTGGGTTGATGGAAGGATGGATGAGCAGGTGGACTGGTAGGTGGATGAGTGGAAGATGGTTAGGAGATGGGAGGATGGATTCCAAGTGTATGGATGGATTGGTGTACTGATGGATGGGAGGATTGGTATGCACATGGATGGATTGATGGATGGATAGATATATGGGTGGGTATGCACATGGATGGATGAGCAGATTGATGGATATGTGGTTGGGTGGGAGGGGGAGGGTTGATGGATGGATGGGTGGGTATGCACATGCATGGATGAATGGATAATATGTGGGTGGGCAGGTTGATGGAAGGATGGATGAGCAGGTGGACTGGTAGGTGGATGAGTGGAAGATAGTTGGGAGATGGGAGGATGGATCACAAGTGGATGGGTGGATTGGTATACTGTGGATGGGAGGATGGATTACAAATGGCCTGATGGATCAATGAATGGATGGTTTAAGGATGACGGAATGGGAAAGGAGATCAGTGGGAAGATGTACAGGAGGTCTGATTGGTGTTTGAATCAGATGGACATTAGGGTAAGCTGTGACGACCAAATTTCTCATTAGCAAACTTTGTTGATCCAAATTTGAAAACAACTCAATGTTGATATTAGACTAGAGTTCCAGAACTTGATCAACACATTGTTAGATATCCAAATGAAAGAACCTGAATGATTTTTTACATCCCAGTCCCAGTCGTGTGAATCAAGATGAATGAGTGGAAATTCTACTACGAACTGAAATGTGTCGAAAACAGAATGTTTGTGAAGAGCCAAAAAATCAAAATAAATGAAATTATTTCAGGGCAACATTGTACACTCAAAATCTTAAATCTGCACAAATTGAAAGAAACAATTAAACTTGAGGATATTCTAAAACTGTGAAGCATGCAAAATTATTATGACACTGAGGTAAATATACACCATTACAATCAAGTGAATTAATATATAGATATATGGACATATATAGACATACAGATATACAATATATACAACTAAGTACATTCATCTACATTAAACCATCACCACTGTCTAGTTTTCTAAAGAAATGATTGATAAGAAAGAAGGGGGAGATAATTATGGGATACACGGACAGAAATCGAAGCTCATCGTATCATATTAGTGTTGGATATGGTTTTTCATCTTGTTGATAGAATATAGTGTTGTATACAGCACAACTTTGGTGCCAATATTCTGTAAAATGGCTAGACTTTCCGAGTCAATAACTAGTCCCTGTTGGATTTTACTCTTAACTTAAAAGGAGGTAACATTTGAGAAGATGTCACCTAAAGATGGCCAATGCCAGGGACAACTGGTGGCATGTATGAGATTGGATTCCAGCCTTAGCACAGAGAGATTCATCCAGCTTTAGTATTTTTCAGTCTAGACCAACACAAGTCATTGATCTACATCTAGACCTTGACCTCATTGTCTGACCTTGACCTCACTGTGTGGCCTTGACCTATAGTTTGAGATTTTGACCTAATTCTAAACCTCACAATGTGGGATGGATTTGTCTTGCAAGTACATTTTGCTGACATAAATTTGATCGAACCCAAAACATGTATGCCTTACCTACCTTCATGAAGCTGTAATTCTAAGATACAAATAGTTGAAGCTTGGGTAGTAATACCTCATTTTTTTTAATAATGTTAAATGTCTTGTTGACCTCCCCTGGCCAAAAGTATCAAAGAATGAAGACAATGTTAGGACAGAATGACAAGAAACACTGAGAAGTGAATATTGTAAACTTACATCGACTGCGTGGGGCGTTCACAGCCGAGAGATACGATGTTTTCCGTACAGGACGACTTCCATGGATGTTCTCCTGCACAATACGAGCCTGGGGGTACAGCTCTTCCTCTGTACTTTCCTCATGGTTGAAAGACTGTCTAGTCTTGGGGTCATGGGTCAAGCTTGTGGTCATCTTGGGTGCCGGTTGACCCTCCTGGAACACAGGCACAATCTCCACAATGGGAGACACTGGAGCACTAGAACTGCCAGGAGATACATATATCCGTATTGGTGCTGGCGCGCTTCCTGATAGCTCGCCAATGTGGCAGGACGGTCGGGTTTATCGTTAGACAATTTGGGTGGGATGTAACGTTCCGTTGAAATTTTCCGGACTTTGATAGCAGGCTGAACCGGAGCAGAGTTGCTTGGAACCTCAGGTTCAGGGGATTCTTGTTTTTGTTCAAAAACTGCAGCGCGATTTGCAACACTTTCGAACTTTTTGAAAGTTGTCATTTTTTCAAGTTCAGTTTTACACCTATCGAACTTGACACCTGGACTGTGGTTTTCGTTCTTACCTAACTCAAAGAGTTGTTTCCTATGGGAGACAATCTGTCTTGGAGTCTTCTTAATTTCTATTTGCGTTGTTACAGGGGATCGTGTCAAGGCGAATGTTGTCCCCGATCCCTTCCCCCCACCGTCAGTTCCATCACCCCCCAATGATCTCTCCCCAACTGGAATCCGAACCACAAACGTCCTCATTGGACTTTCCGGATTGGTTTGATCATGGTATCGGTTGCTGTCGGTATGCCATGAGCGCTGTGTCTGGAACCGACTTAACCTTGAATCGATGTTATCAACACTGGAAGATTTCGTGCCTTTCTCAAGCGGATTAGCCGACACAACTGGAACATAATGTCGGACTCCCCGAACATCTGTTTTATAGTCAACATCACTTCCACGTCGACTGGAAAGTTGGCTGCGGTACGGCGACTGTGACGTCATGTTGGATGCAGGTGATGATAATGATGATGTTGTGTGGGAGCGTGATATGATAATGGACGTGGAATCTCCCGATTTTAAAACTTTCGAACCACTTGGTGAATATGGAGGTGGTTTTGAGTCTATTCCTAATCTTTCTTGTGAACGTAAAAGTGATTCCTTGGACTGTGAATTGTCTGATGTGTTATCAAACGATGGCTGTCTGTGTTCATATCCTAACCTACGTGGACGCAACTCGGAACTAGTGTCCCGAATATTTTCCTTAGAATATCGATTACTCCCCTTGTTTAAACCATCCATGCTGTTCGATTTGTTATCTCCTGTTTGGGGAGGGAAGTAGAGTCCAAAGGAATATTTCTTCTGTGGAATTGAACACGACACACTTGAGCTCATGCTGACTCCGTCAAAACCATGTGGATTCCGATAATCAAAATCAGAATCCCGGAAAAACGCTTCCCTATTGTAGCTGTTATCACTCCTCAAGGGTTCCTTGTAAGACGACAAAGCTGAACCGAAGGACTCAGAAGTTTTCAAGGGGTAAGGACCGAACTCTCGTGACCGATCTGTGTAGTAGTCCTTGTTTCGGTGGTCCTTGACTGTGAAGGACAGTCGGGATTCTTGGCGCGATTCAGGTAACAATACATTTTCGTTAGAAGCATAAGCAGAATGGGCTCTTCGGATAGGGGCAGTAGCTTGGCGGTCGGAGTCTAAGGAGCCGTTACTTCCACTGATGGAATCCTGAGCCTGCGGGTGGTAAGCCTGAAAACAGAAACACACTGAGTGAGTGAGTGAATTTAGTTTTACACCGTTTTTTGAAATATTCCAGCAATATCACGGCAGGGAATAAGAGATATGGGTTTCAAACATTGCACCCAGGTGGGGCATCAAACTCGGTCTTCGATGTGACGAGCAAACGCTTTAACCACTAGGCTTCCTGGGTGAGGTGATATGGGATTTAAAATCATGTTCATTATTACAGTTTTTCTGTGACATGCATGCATGTGGTAATATAGCCAGTCAGTCAAGCTGTCTATTATTATCATCGAAACCGTAATAAGAGAGGCAAAGTAGGAATTAATTAAAACATTTTGCTTGAATTTCACTTAAAATCGCTTTGCAAGCATCAGGGATTTACAGATCGCAAATTCCTGCATCCTATATGCATAAAAATTGACAATGGACGCAACAAAATTTATTGGCGCGTCCACAGGGACTCAGAAAAAGTCCAAATACTTTTTGTAAAAATTCCAATCAACTGACAATAAGTTATCACTGAGATTGCTACAAGCTGGCTTATGGTATTAGTTGCAATTTATATACTGTAACAATGTAATGATCATGATACACAATACAATAACAGTATTAATAATAATATTTAAGTGTCTGGGACCCCATTTTGTTGTCCAGGACCCCTGAAAATTAAGAGCATGAGTCCCAGGGACCCTCAAATACAGGACTCCAGGTAAATCCCTGAAGCATCAAGGTATCTTCTTGATGAGAAATGAAAACCTGAAGCCTTCTAGTTTGCTTTGTTGTTTATTGTCCCACTCAGCAATATTCCAGCTGTATGGCAGCAGTCTACCAATACTCAAGTCTGGACCAGACAATCCAGTGATCATCATGAGCGGCGATCTATGTAATTGGGATACGATTACATGCATCAAACAAGACAGTGAGCCTGACCACCTGATCCTGCTAGTCAACTGCTACAACAAGCATGGGCTGCCTGAAACCTACAGTAAGTGTTAATGCCTGATATTATTGGATTACAACAAGCAAGGGCTGCCTGAAACCTACAGTACTGCCTGACTGACTGAGTTTAGTTTAACGCTGCTTTTAGCAACATTCAAGCAACATCACGGCAGGGGACACCAGAAATGGGCTTCACACATTGTACCCATGTGGGGATTCAAACCCGGGTCTTCGGCGTGACAAGCCAACGCTTTAACCACTAGGCTACCCCACCGCCCCGAAGCCTACAGTAAGTGTTAATGCCTGATATTATTGGATCAAGACTCGGATTACATTCAGTAACATTATGACAATGAACTGACAGGCTTGATAAAGGGAAACTACTCTTGTGGGCATACTGTTATTCCATGGATTTTTACAATCCCATAGCCTCATGGGATAACCTCTGTTAATCTAAGTAAATTATGCAATTGTTGATATCTTTCAGCAAATTCTGTGACAGAGACGAGCTTCAAGTCTGTGATACCCAGTGACACTGCATCAAAGAAAGCTTACCAATTGTAGAATGTCTTCATCTTTGGGCACAACTAGAAGTTTCAAAGCTGCATCGCTGAAAACAGATGAAAATATATCAAACTGAATTCCTTACAAAGACAAGTGGTTGGGAAGCCTACAAATATAGTATTTGCTGTCGCGTTGAAGGTCCGGCTTTGTTCCTAACATGAACACAAGGTGTGAAGCATACTTCTGTATGCAGTACTCCAGCCATATTATGATAAGCTGTCTACAATCAAGCTGGCACATCCACACAAGTGCTTTCCTAACTGTGGACAAAAGTCTTTATAATTGTTCCTTCTCAAATTTCTGACAATCTGATTTCCGATCAATTTAAGTGGAGACATTTTGGGTGGAGACTATATGTTTGGATAGTGCTTGTATTATTGGGTGGTGACCATATTTTTGGGTGGAGACTATATGTTTGGGTGGAGACTATATTTTTGGGTGGAGACTATATGTTTGGATAGTGCTTGTATTATTGGGTGGTGACCATATTTTTGGGTGGAGACTATATGTTTGGATAGTGCTTGTATTATTGGGTGGTGACCATATTTTTGGGTGGAGACCATATTTTTGGGTGGTGACCATATTTTTTTGTTGCGACTATATTTTGGGAGGTGACAATATTTTTGGGTGGAGACTATATGTTTGGATAGTGCTTGTATTATTGGGTGGTGACCATATTTTTGGGTGGAGACTATATGTTTGGATAGTGCTTGTATTATTGGGTGGTGACCATATTTTTGGGTGGAGACCATATTTTTGGGTGGTGACCATATTTTTTTGTTGCGACTATATTTTGGGAGGTGACAATATTTTTGGGTGGAGACTATATGTTTGGATAGTGCTTGTATTATTGGGAGGTGACCATATTTTTTTGTTGCGACTATATTTTGGGTGGTGACCATATTTTTGGGTGGAGACTATATTTTTGGGTGGAGACTATATTTTCACACGTACAGGGTTTTCATTCCGTTCCCCAAAACAAGATTATTTTTAACTTTGAATGGAGCATCCAATGCCTTACCACATGGGTTATATTTGTAGTAACACTTTCTGTGTAAAGTACAATTCTAGTACTTGTGGAAGCAGCGGTGGCTAAGTGGATTACATCACTAACCTATTGTTCTGGCAATTAGGTGCCCCACTCCGAGGCTGCGGGTTTGAATCCCAGATGGGACTTAACCTTACAAAGTACAAGAATCTGTAATTTACTGAAAAAGTGTAATTCCAAATATAAACATGTTATATTTCACCACTTCCTAAATGGCATAAAGTATTCAGAACTACCTGACTGTAATTAGTGAGTATATCTTACTTCCCCTGCTTTATGCCATATCACATCAGCTGGTGTTTGGACAAACCAGCAGTCGACAGCATGAGCCACAATTCCTGCTGTCAGATCACAATCAATCAGTCTAATTATGTGAGAATGATGATTTACATGTAACGTTTTTTTCTCAACACAGCTGACAGCAATACCATTGCTATCTGACAGCAGTCTGTAGACTCAGCACCATCAAATGATTGATATTGTGAGCACCAAGTCACACTTCATCGGTAAGATGAAACAAATCAACTGAGGTTGACAACCCAATCCATTAAGTGACATCTACCTAGAGCACCAACCAACAGAATCCCCTACAATCACCACAGAGTCTCAAGCATATGACAAGCATTGGTTACTCAAGATCTACTATGTCATGGAATTTCCCCAGGGTTGCTAATCTGAGCACTACATATTCCCCTGGGTGCCGAGGATGGTACGAATCCTACCTGGACTGTATGAGAGAGATGACTTGGGAGTAGGACTTTCCGGTGACAGATTCTCCGTTGACGGACACAATACGGTCTCCTGTCTTAAGACCAGCGACATGTGCGGGGCTTTCTTCTTTCACATTCTTGACAAAGATGGTGTCCATCGGCTCCAAGCTGGCCAACTTGCTCCGTTTACTTCTCTTTTCTGAAACATGTTGAGTTAGTGAAAGTTCGTGTTCTATACTGCTTTTAGCAACAATGGTTTTGTGTACCAGTAATTATGTTTTTTAGCAACAAAAATAGTTTTTGGATGGGAATTTCAGACACATCAGTCCTTCGGAAAGGCACATATATCAGTGTTGTAAACTCCCCAAAATTTCAGCCAGACAACTGGACTGGTAACTCTCAAAAGTTACCAGACCAGCTGGAAAGTTGCCAGTCCAGAATTTTCTGGATTAAGAAAAATAGAAAGAAGGTTACGTTAATAAGAGGAGGGAACTGTTTAATGTCAGGTAATTGTCACAATAACACACAGTTTCAAATGTTTTTCAGTCAAGGCTTTTGTCATTATATACATTACAAAATTACACTTATTTAACAGCCAGACCATCAGGCGTGCAACATTTTTAAACTGGCCATCCAGTCGCAAAACAGACCGTCCCGGACAGTCAGGCAGGTGGGAGTTTGCAACGCTGCATATATATTGTAGTAATAATCAAACACAACATGAATGAATAGTGAGTGAGTGAATTTAGTTTTACGCCGCTTTTAGCAATATTCAAGCAATATCACAACGGGGGACACCAGAAATGGGCTTCACACATTGTACCCATGTGGGGTATCCAACCCAGGTCTTCGGTGTGACGAGCCAACGCTTTAACCACTAGGCTACCTCACCGCCCCCCATGAATGAATAAGTTACAGGATTTCATCATAGCATGTTAGCTTCATGTAAGAAGGTCTTCCCTCTCTCTTTTTGATAATAAACAGAAAACAAGTAGAAAGTAAAAAAAAAATCAAAATCACATAAACATGAAAGAGCAAATGTTGAGAGTCAGAAATATTACACTGTTACTGAAATATGTAAAATATTTTCCAAAGAAAACAAGGATTCACACCATGAGCAAAACTTTTGAAATACAAACAATTAATGTTGCCAATTCTATTCCAACTTTTGTTGACCAGTTAGTGATGAAACGTCCTTCAATCATACACATAAAATAGTCCATTCTTCTAAGTCTAAACAGGCATATACACTCTCCTTTCAACATGAATTATACAACCAATAAAATATATCTATATAAACCTTAACAATTACAACCAGGAAAACCCAAAGAATTTCAACAAAAGATTGTAAATTCTTCACATTCTCTCCCCAATGTTTCAACATCTGCCCAGACATTGAGTCCAAAACTACAAACTCCTCGCACTGCATGACCCATTAGGCACAGCAGTAATAGGCTGTGCAACTGCCGTGTAAGGAGCTCCAGGAGGCAGGTGTAATGGATGTTTGGAGAAGGTTGCGTGTGCACACACCACAGTAAGGGGAATGTCGGGCAAAACAAACACGCTCCAACTGCCAGGAATGTTGTGGCATTATGACGACATGTGTTCTTCCAAAATACTTTTTTTATTGGCTTCATGTAACAGATGTCCCTGCTTTATCGTGTACGTGATCACATGCTGTTAATGAACTACAGAACAACATTCTAGAATTACAGATTACAACATGCCTTTGAGTGAATGTAGTTTTATGCCAGTTTTACCAATATTCCAGCAATATCACAGCAGGGGCACCAGAAATGGGCGTGGTACATTGTACCCATGTGGGGAATCAAACCCTGGTCTTCGGCGTGACACGAGTGGACGCTTTAACCACTTGGTTACCCCACCGCCCCAGACGCCTTTGAAAACAGTCAAGCATCTTCACAATTTGAATCTTCTTGTATCTTTTGGAAATATCTTGTGATGACACTGACCTCGTTCCTAAGTGTCTTTCATACCACTGATAATTTCGGTGAAAGAGGAATTATGCAACCTAAATTGAATTTTACGCCAATTGCTTTGCAAGCAACTAATAAAATATCTACATTTCTGGGACTAAATGTCAGCCTGGACCGAACCCACTCACTTCAAAACCATGCCACAGAGTAACATGGATAGCCCACTCAGTGAGTGAGTGAGTGAGTTTAGTTTTACGCCACCCTCAGCAATAGTCCAGCTATATGGCGGCGGTCTGTAAATAATCGAGTCTGGACCAGACAATCCAGTGATCAACAGCATGAGCATCGATCTACACAATAGGGAACCGATGACATGTGTCAACCAAGTCAGCGAGCCTGACAACCCGATCCCGTTAGTCACCTCTTACGACAAGCATAGTCGCCTTTTGTGGCAAGCATGGGTTGCTGAAGACCTATTCTACCCCCGGATCTTCACGGGTCCATAGCCTACTGAGACATACTATACTGACAGAGTCGGCCAGTCCTGGTTATATCCCTTTAATACCAGGCACCAGGCAGAGTAACAACAAGTACCATCTACTAGCAAGACCAAGGACAGTCTGTGTTTCCAGTCTACAAACTATTATATCACATGATGCAAGAATTAGATGAAACAATAAAGTTAGAGATGCTATTTCCTAGGTCAAGGTGGTCATTTCAACAGGGATTCCAAAGGTCAGATTACCCATAATTCCTTTTTTAGTTGATTCCTCTATGAAGTAGTAAGACATTGCTTTTGTTATGAGTTTCAAAAATGGCTACAAGCATACATACAGATAAAGTTGGAACAAGTCTCAAATGAATTGCAGCTTTGACAATTTCAATCCTATCAATGAAAAAAAGAGACCAATGAACAATAATTGCTCAACTCTTCCTCCTAAACCTTCCTCCTGCCTTTCATCCTTTATCCTTCTGAATATCCCGATCAATGATAAAGGGCTTCCAGAAATATAATTATTATTAAACTTATAAAAATGTCATTCTGTGAGAAAATTAATTGACATTTAAGAGTAAAAACCAATTAAACCAATTTGAAACAATGAAGCAACGTAAGTTATGTTTACCATTTAACAGTGAATAATTGAGCTATTTACACAATGGAACTCAATATTCTGGCAAGGCATCGACCAGGTCACTCTGACATCATTCTACGTTCAACGATCTCATGCAGACATGCATTTCGGCTCCGATAACACAAATATGTTCCCTTCTGTTCCACAGCTGCAGGTAATGTTCTTGAGAACAGAGTGCCTTTCATGTTTTGGTTTCAAGTATGCAGATGCTGACTGCTATCTCATCGCAATACACCTCACAGATGAGGTTGGAGTATTTCTGCTATCGTTTAATATTTAACGTTAATTCATTATTTTATATTCTGATAACATGGGAAGGAAGGTATTTATGAGAAGCATCATATTTCTCAAACATCTATTAGCAATATGGTATTTTATGAGGAGGGCACAAATTGTATCACTAATTTAATAAATGTTATTTGAAAAATATTTAATTAGATTTAAAGCGATATGGAGAGAAATTATAACGGGCCCACTCAATGTCACTTTCGCTTAAGTTAAAGATATGCTAAGGACTAGTGGAAACATGAACATTTCTAAGATGTTCGGTATATTATCAGTATTTGGGCTAAATGAGTAGACTTTCTTGTGTAATTTCTATCCCTGTCACTTGTGTAAAAGGTTTCAGAGTTTCGGAGGTGTTGTTGAGAGGTGTCACAGAGGTGTCACTGAGAGTTGTCACAGAGATGTCATTGAGAGGTATCACAGAGGTGTCGTTTATGTCTCAGAGGTGTCGTTGAGAGGTGTCACAGAGGTGTCATTGAGAGGTATCATAGGTGTTGAGAGGTGTCACAAAGGTGTCATTGAGAGGTATCATAGGTGCTGTTGAGAGGTGTCACAAACATGTCATTGAGAGGTGTCACAAAGGGGTCATTGAGAGGTATCATAGGTGTTGTTGAGAGGTGTCACAAACATGTCATTGAGAGGTATCATAGGTGTTGTTGAGAGGTGTCACAAACATGTCATTGAGAGGTGTCACAAAGGTGTCATTGAGAGGTATCATAGGTGTTGTTGAGAGGTGTCACAAAGGTGTCATTGAGAGGTATCATAGGTGTTGTTGAGAGGTGTCACAAAGGTGTCATTGAGAGGTATCATAGGTGTTGTTGAGAGGTGTCACAAAGGTGTCATTGCGAGGTATCATAGGTTTTGTTGAGAGGTGTCACAAAGGTGTCATTGAGAGGTGTCATAGGTGTTGTTGAGAGGTGTCACAAAGGTGTCATTGAGAGGTATCATAGGTTTTGTTGAGATGTGTCACAAAGGTGTCATTGAGAGGTATCATAGGTGTCGTTGAGAGGTGTCACAAAGGTGTCATTGAGAGATATCATAGGTGTTGTTGAGAGGTGTCACAAAGGTGTCATTGAGAGGTATCATAGGTTTTGTTGAGAGGTGTCACAATGGTGTCATTGAGAGGTATCATAGGTGTTGTTGAGAGGTGTCACAAAGGTGTCATTGAGAGGTGTCACAGAGGTGTCGTTGAGAGGTATCACAGAGGTGTCATTGAGAGGTATCATAGGTGTTGTTGAGAGGTGTCACAAAGGTGTCATTGAGAGGTATCATAGGTGTTGTTGAGAGGTGTCACAAAGGTGTCATTGAGAGGTGTCATTGAGAGGTATCACAGAGGTGTCGTTTATGTCTCAGAGGTGTTGAGAGGTATCACATATGTGCTGTCAAGAGGTGTCACATAGGTGTTGTTGAGAGGTGTCATGGAGGTGTTGAGGTGTCACAGGTGTCATTGAGGTGTCTCAGAGAGGTATAACATAGGTGTCTCAGGGGTCATTAAGAGGTGTCACAGAGTATCAAGGTGTCATTGAGAGGTGTCATATAGAGGTATCACAGAGGTGTCATCGAGAGGTATCACAGGTGTCATTGAGAGGTGTCACTTGGAGGTGTCATTGAGAGGTATCACAGGTGTCATTGAGAGGTGTCACTTGGAGGTGTCATTGGGCGATGTTACAAAGGTGTCATACTCACCACTGCCATTGTGTTCCAAGTCCTCTCCCTGAAAAAAGAATTCAAACATGAATGATCGGCATAACATTCCAATTACAACAAGCATTGTAACTAAGGTGACATAATCCCCCGCAGCAAATTATCAAATCAAACTTAAAAAGTAATGAAAATGAAGGTCGTAATTTAAGATGAAGTTAAATGTAAACAAAAACATGACCAGTCAACCTCTCTTGATATCTTGCTCTGTAGTTGTTCAAATGCACAAATATTTTCAAGGCTCACTTTGACCTTGACATGAATGTCTTTGTGTATGAAATATGCAAAAATAGTAATCAAGAAATTGCTTATTGAAAAACATTCAAGGGAAGTCTTGAAAGTCTATGAAGAAAATCCAGTGAACTTTTCTTGAGATATCTTGCTGACAACCTTAACATGCTGAAATCTTCAAAGTGTCGCCTAGGTACCAAATATGAAAAGAATCCAGTCAACGGCTCTTAAGACATTCCAATTCGTATTTACATACAGACGTACGGACGTACAGACGGAGCCTAATACTATAACACCCGCTTCACGCTGAACGCGCGGCAGGGGATAAAAACTGTTTGTCATCACAAACAATGCTGGGACTTTAAGCAATGCTAAAATATCCTTTTAAAATGTCTTACAGATGGACGTTTTCAGCCACACAGGTGGCTGGCTCAGTGGTCAACACAATTCATTGAGGAGAGTTGTGTCCCCTTGTCGTCAGTATCCACTGGCTCTGGTTTAAATCCGAAATTCAACATCATAATTCTTGATGTGTCAGTACTGTACCAATATTCATGCTTCACTCACGTAATAATCATTTGTAACATGCCACCATGGGTAATGACCAACCAAATCTAACCCAAACAAATATTGCCAAATAACAACATCCAAACATGAAGGCAAAAGAAAGTCCAATATAAAATCTGCTTTTAAACAAAGAATGGAATAATTCTCTCTTGGTTGGACGACCGATGCCCTGATAATCTGAGCACTTCATAACCTCTTCAACCAGGAAGGTACAAACCAACATATTATCTATCAGATATACATAAGGTTAACATACAATGCCAAAATGTTAAAAAGAGACAATCCCTTTCAGATATCACTTTTGACAACACATCACAATGGATGTGTGGGTCTATTTATCATCAGTGGAGGAAGTGACACATAATGAAGGACACAGCGTACAACCCACACTCACCCCACACACGACCTCCTTCCTCAGCATACACACTAGCAATACTTCTAATTCACTCTTTTATTCAGCACCCATTTTACTCTCATAATTCATGCTCTAATTCATACTCTAATTCAGTACAGAATGTATCACAATTCATGAAGGTTTCACTTTCCACGATTTATATGATGAACTGATAGACATTATAGAAAGCACCTGTAGAAATAATGAGCAATATAGATAAGATAAAATGACACAGACTTGTGTGTATTAGACAGGAAAGATGGTTGAAGTCGACTGCAACAACATCAATGAAGGAAGTGACTGTGAGCAACGATGAACACAGTGTACAATCCCCACTCAACCCTGCCCCATCCAACCCACATCCAACCCACATCCACGCTGACCACTATCTGTAAACACTAGCAATATTAATTCATTCTCTAATTCAGCACATAATTCATGCTCTAATTCAGTCAAAAATTCAGTCCAGAATTTATCACAATATACGAAGTTTCACTTTCTACATTTCAAATATGAACCGACAGAACATTACAGCAAGCATCTGTCTCAATAATGAGCGCTGATAAAATCAAATGACACAGACTTGTGTATGAACCAACAGAACATTATAGAAAGCACCTGTAGCAATAATGAGCAATAACGATAAGATAAAATGATATAGGCTTGTGTTTATTAGACAGCAAAGATGGTTTAAGTCGACTGTAATATCATCATTGAATGAAGTGACACAGCAATGATGAATAGTGTACAATCCCCACTCAACCCTGACCCCCTACACACACACTGATCACTATCCTAGTCTGTCTCACAGTCCCTCAATAACATTATATTCCCTACTGCCTGGCCCTCCATGCCTGGCCCTCCATTTTCCCTACTACCTAGCCCTCCATTTTCCCTACTGCCTAGCCCTCCATGCCTGGCCCTCCATGCCTGGCCCTCCACGCCTGGCCCTCCACGCCTGGCCCTCCATTTTCCCTACTACCTAGCCCTCCACGCCTGGCCCTCCATTTTCCCTACTGCCTAGCCCTCCATGCCTGGCCCTCCATTTTCCCTACTACCTAGCCCTCCATGCCTGGCCCTCCATTTTCCCTACCTACCTAGCCTCCACGCCTGGCCTCCATTTTCCCTGCCTAGCCCTCCATTTTCCCTACTACCTAGCCCCCACGCCTGGCCTCCATTTTCCCTACTGCCTAGCCCTCCATGCCTGGCCCTCCATTTTCCCTACTGCCTAGCCCTCCTCCTGGCCCTCCATTTTCCCTACTGCCTAGCCCTCCATGCCTGGCCCTCCATTTTCCCTACTGCCTAGCCCTCCACGCCTGGCCCTCCATTTTCCCTACTGCCTGGCCCTCCATGCCTGGCCCTCCATGTTTTCCTAGCCCTCCATTTTCCCTACTGCGTGGCCCTCCACGCCTGGCCCTCCATTTTCCCTACTGCCTGGCCCTCCATGCCTAGCCCTCCATTTTCCCTACTGCCTGGCCCTCCATGCAATGCTAAAGCCCTAAATGAAGCAAGTCTAGATTTCCCCAGGTTCATCTCCCAACTCACTTGGGATCCAGTTCAATTTAAATGGGTTTATTTGTTACTATTAAAATCATATATACTAGTATTCAGGGACTAAGAGTTAGTCAAACCACTATCCGAAAAAACCCACACTAGCAAAACTATTTCATTTTCTAATTCAGCACATAATTCATGCTCTAACTCATCTCAATTGACTAAGTTTTCACACTCCACGACTCCAATGATTCACACACCTACAGAACACTACAGAAGCACCTGTAGCAATAATGATCAAATGAAACATTTTTTTCTCATAAAAAAGGCCACAGAGTGGAGGTATTAGTCAGCCAAGATGGTTCAAGATGACTACAGCACCCTGCTGGAAAACAGTTCACTGTCAAGATGTAGGAATCTGGCTCGGGGGCAGGGCTGTTCCGAGGGAGTTATATTGGGTGTTGATGATCAGCCCAGCATGAAATAGGATCCACTTTCAGCTACTATTTCTCAGTAATGAACGCTGCTGGTTTTGTCCACTTTTTTTATAGTTGTTGTCTACAGTTCCCAAATGGATTGGCAATAGTTGGGATATCCTGTCAAGCACTGAATTTTTTTTTCTTAGAATGTTAATCAAAAATTTAATATCTTGGACTCTAATGATACTTTCATTGGTGAGTGAGTTAAAGTTTATAGTCACATAGGCAGTATCACAGCCATAGCCTGACTATATTTCCACTAAGTTGAGGACTGTTAGAGTTAGTTACACAGGCTCAGGTTTTAGATATTTAATATTTTGCTGAAAACAACAAAAATAATAATGAAAAAAAGACATGGAATTCAAACCAATGTTTCATTACAGGATCTTGACACATGTAAGGGGTGTAACTCTGCACAACAAACTACAACACCTTTGACCAATCTTTAAAAACAATAAAATGACTTTGTTTAATGCTGCACTCAGCAATAATTGAGGTATATGGGAGCAGTCTTTAACACTGAAAAAGAACGGAAATTCGCAGACATTTATATCTCTCAGTCGAAAATATTGACTAAAATCTCATAAATATTTCATATATTAATTCATATCAATAATTACTCCCACTAGACACTGTAGCGAGGACATAGACAGGTACGTGGCAACAAGCCCAACACTATGCAGTGAACTGTCAACATATCAAAGAGTTGGGTAGGTTGGTACTTTTTCCTCCTTCAGTTCAGACCGATAAATCACCTGAGGAAAACTCTGTCTCAGCTTATCTGTGAGACTACTCCCACTCTCTACCCTAGGGGCACACTGTACACACTGGCCTCACCGTCTCGGGATGAGGTGGGTGAACCAGGGCTCAACACTATTCTGGTTGTGAAGTCTGTGGGTGACAATACTTTTATGCCACATTTAACAATATTCCGGCAAAATAACACTTTGCTATACCAGAAATAAGCATCACACATTGTTGGGGGAATACTGATACACACAATCAGCCATTATAATCCTTGCTGCTTTATGGGAGATAAGATAGCATCAAGTCTGAGCCAGGTAAGCAAGTGGCTGATAGCATGAGCAAACAACCATCATCCGATATCAAAACATGATCAGCCAGGTCATTACAGGTTACAACCTCATCAACATCAGGTTGTTACAACAATCAGATTGCTAGCGCAAGTACAAAATCATCACAGGGAACGTGTAGACCAGTTTAAGTCTGTAATCCACTAGCAGAGTTACATTCTTTGGGAACACAAGGATCCTCTGATTGTGGATTGAATCCTGGCTGCATGAATTAGGTTTCTTCGTTTGTCATACAAGTTCTTGTGGGTCTCACCAAATTGATAACAGATCTGTATCATCTTGTGTTTCAAACATTAATCCGATACAGCATTATTAGTGGAAAACTGTCCAAGGCACCGTTAAACACTCCTCACTCCCTAACTAACAAAATCATTGCAATTGCAGTCAGTTCACATAATTTCAACTTTTTTGTTCAAACACTACACCAGTCTCTCCTCTTGGTGCCCACACCATACAATAAACTCTTAAAGAGAAAGACATCTGTCAAAGATGTGTCAGGAATGTTTGAGGCAACTTTTAAAGAATCCCACAAAAATTGTGAAGTATCCATCTCACATTCTCAGAACTATTTCAAAGTTGCATGAAAACCACGGACATCATCTCATAAAACACATCACCACTGCATTTTTGTGAATAACCCCCCAGCTGTTGAAAGATGTTAATTTTTTTAAACTTATTTTACACCACATTCTGGCGGCAATGAAATCGCTAAAAAAGTAAATCTCACATTCTCAGAAATATTTTGCGGAAGCAA